ATAAAAGCATCATATCACATTCATAGGATATTACCTTCATTTTGCTATTATTCGTTAAAAAACTTTGTTTGCTCAAAAACAAAGGAAGGTGTGGGATGCATTTTCTAATAAAGCTTCCCTAAATGAGAAACTGTATTGAAATGATGGCTTAACATAATTTGTTGTTTTATGCCTTAGCATCACTAATATAAAGATTCTAGAATTTTATTTCTGTGCTTCCACTAGGTGGTCCTTGTGTTCAGTTTGCATATGAAGAAATAATCCAGTTTAAAATTACAAACAAATTTTGGAAGTGGTTTACCATTCCCTTCTTCTGGGGGCATCTTGGGACTGTGCAGTTTGCCCAAGGCCACACAGGCTGACTCTACTCACAGGAGGCACAGGAGGGAATCAAACTCCCAATCATCCTAAACAATTGAGCTATCCAGCCAGTTTATTTTACCCTTAGGATTAGGTTGTTTTTATGCACAACACTGAAGTGTGGCCGAGCATTTGTTGCCCTGTAGCATTCACACATTCATATTGTTTGTGATGTTTAATAAAAAGGGATTTTTTATAATTTTTAATAACAAATACAGATCTTTTTAATCGTGTATGTTTTACCAATGAGGCAGTTACATTCAAATGACAAAGCAATGATAATTTTTAAAACTGTGAGATTGACACAATTTATGCTACTGGGGATGAGTAGAGCTCCTCATTTAACAAGTTGGGTCCAGGGTCTGCCTTCCTGGCTTCACTCTCAGAATGTGCTCTGGTCTGATCTGTAGGGATCCCTATCTCCATAAAACTAAAATTCACCACATTCCAAACAGTTTCCTTCCCCTCAGCATAAAGCTTCTAGAGAGCTGGAGAGACTGTAATCTGGAAGATGGGGATGAGAAATCAGTTTCCAACAGGGCCGTTACATGCATCTAAATCTGGAGCCAACCTACTGGATTTCACCCTGTTCTAGATTTTTAAAAGATGTTTTGAATACTTTCCATGTACTGTAGCTAGGAAACTCAAATTAACCTTAGATTTGTGTGCTCCTGGTTATCATGGGCTGATCATATCTTTGCATTTTTCTTCATTTTCTCTGTATTCTTTTTGTTGTTCTACCATTTCTTTTCTTAAAATGAGTTTGGCATAGCAAACATTTATCCTCTCTTTTGCCTCTACGTGTCATTCCATTTCTTTCAAGGCACCTTCTACAACATTATACAGAGCCTCTCCTTTGTCCTCTCCTCTGTCATGTTCAAAATACTGCATCTCATATGACAGGAAAGTCTAAGAGCCCACCCTGTGCCAAGTTAGCCTTTGTGGCCTGCATACTTACACCAAGTCATATCCAATTCAGATAGATCAACATATGCCTGTGAATGCATATACAGTGGTGCCTCGCTTAACGAGCACACCGCATAACGATGAAATCGCATAGCGATCCCTTTTTTCGGATCGCTAATGCGATCGCTTAACGTTTTTTGAATAGGGCTAAATTCTCTTTGTGAAGCCCGGTAAGCGTTTCGCTTACCGATCTTCGCAAAACGAAGCCCGACGATCAGCTGTTCGGTGGCCAACATGGCCGCCGGAAGCCGGGAAATGGCCCAAAATGGCCACGCGCAGCGTTTTCGCGCCCTCGTTAAGCGAGGCGAGGGCGCGAAAATGGCTGCCGGCCATTACGAAGCTTCATTGAACGGTGAGTATTTGGCCCATTTGGAACGCATTAAACGATGTTTAATGCGTTCCAATGGGTTTTTTTTATCCGTTCAATGATGCTTCAGCATAGCGAAGGTTAATCAGGAATGGATTAACCTCGCTATGCGAGCCACCACTGTATATAGAAAAATGTTGCCATGCCACAGAGGAAATTGCATCATGAGAGATACACATAGTATCTCTGGATACAATGAAGTCTACAATCTCCAAAGAAGAAAAGAAAGAGATCACAGAAAGGAAATGGCTCCTCTGAAACAATAATCCAAATATTGTTGGGCTCCAGCTCCCATCAATTCCATATAGTATGGCCAGTGGTCAAAGAGTATAAGAGTCATAGCCCTACATATGTACAGCCAGAGGTTACCTACCTCTGAACTAAACCAACTGAAATGCACACAGCAATCTTTTATGGAGAAAGAAGAATCATTGCTTATTAACTTGATTTAGCAATTTTTGCACCAGAAATATGTGGTTTGCTATGCAGCTCAGAAACCTATTCCTGCTCCTGGCTGCTCATAACTTTGTGAGCTTGCGAACTGCAGCAGCATTTTAGATGCAGATTGTTTCCTATGGTTGTCCTCTCCTAACCTGTCACCCTCACATTGCTATTCATGTCGCTATCTTCATTATCTTCTGTTTGAACATGAATAGTAGGAATTGGGACCAGTTCTTAGCAGGGCCACCTCCAGTACTTTTCTCTTTGTGGATTCTGTCATCATTAACTGGCTTGAAAAAGAAGGATCTGAGTTAAGTAACAGGTAAAACAATGGAAAGTTGTTTCCCTTTCAGAGCATTGGAGGTATCCAATTGATTATGCATTGTACAACACACATTCAGCATGCCTCAGAGGCATACAGAATATGTTCACAGATAACAACAATAATGATTTTGTTCTGTCTTGAAGAATTGGATACGTACAGTATCACATAGCATTTAAAAGCTGAGATACAAGATCAAATGTGAAGCTGAGGATTGTTATCCTCTAGAGAGAATGGCTATGTATTGAGCTCATACGGTTCAGAAATGACAACCCATTTCTTCTTTGTTGCAACCCTCAAAGTGATACTTTTATAGATCTCGTGCAGTGTAAATAGCTTTTGTATATACAACTCATTTTTTTCCTTTGAGCTGTTCTTCACTTCATCTTTTTTTTTTAATTATTTAAGGCATCTGAGGATTTATCGGAAACTGACATGAGCAGCGGAGAGCAACAGCATCAAACTAAGGTAGGCTGTATGGAAGAAAAGCTGAAGTCAAGGTTATTTGGACTGGCTGCCAAAATGAGTGACAGCAGGGAAGCTTCTTCGGAGGAGCAGGTGTCAGAAGAGCCAAGAACAGAATCGGAGAACCAGAAATCCTGCTTATCCTCAGAAGACAATAGCAAATGCATTCAAGAGGAGTTAAAGAAGGTAGGCAGTATCGGTGACCAAACTGTTAATATATAATATATTTCAGAGCCATTTTCCACATTAGGGTTCTGAAAAAGTGAATCCCTTCTATGTCTGAATCTGTAACTTCAAGAGTGGTAATGACACATTATAATAAAAGCTACTATGCGCTCTCTCGCTCTCTCTCTCTCTCTCTCTCTCTCTCTCTCTCTGCCTGACCTACCTCACAAGCACTTTGTATGATAAAAATGAGTAGAGCTGCCCTGAGGTCATTGAAGGAAAGGCTGTATGATGATGACATTGATAATGATGATCATGATGTATAACAACAACAATATTTTATTTTAAGTAGAGATATATATTGTTGTTATGATTGCATTCCACTTCTTATTTCTCAACATTACTGGAGCATAGAGGTAGACCAAGGAGTCAAGCTTAACAATTAGGAGTCAAGTCCTAAAAATGTGTAGGTGAGATGATGTGTTTGCACAATCAATTTTCCCCTGTGAAATTGTTGTTGTTGGTGGTAATGATGATGGTGATAGCAGCCTCTAAAATGGCTATACAGGCCCAGTCTCTTTCTTCCAATTGATCACTGGAAGTCAACTTTAAATTTCAACCAAGGAGTGACAGAAAGAACACTGTCAATGTAAAATAAAACTGTTTAAATACCGTATTTTTCTGTCTATAAGATGCCCCGTGTATAAGATCCCCCCCTTTTCTAACCCAAAATTAAGAAAACTTAGCTTTGAGTATTCTGCCTCTGGGCTCAGAACGCTCGGACATTATGAGTCCCTGTTGAATCTGAGCACTGCGTACAGGCTCCACCTCCAATGAGGTGTGTTCCAATTGGTTTGTACAGCATCAGCTGATGTCAGTTACATAAGGCTCGTGATTGGAGGAAGCTAAGTCTTCTGACTGTAGGAAGCTAAGCCTCGCGTTTGGAGGCAGCCTGTTTGCAGAGGCAAGGTATGTGTCATTTTGTTCTCTCCTCAGCTTACTTCCATGTATAAGACAACACTCAACTTTTAGTCTAAAGATTTTAGACAAGTATCATCACACTGAAAAATACGGTAAACAAAAGAAAAAGGTGCTGCAGGAACACTGACACAGAAATAAGTCATCAGGTTAAGGGAGAGATTGTATGATCTGGAAATGTTGCTTATTTTGGACAGCAGCTTTTAGAATCTCAGAGCCAGCAGAGCCACTAGGGTATTTTGGTAGTCTTAGTAAAAAAAAAAAAAAAGTAACTTTCCCCTTCTCTGCCTGCAGTGAACTGGCAGCTGCTATTTGTCTGGTAATGATTTACTCCATCTGAATTCAGGCCCTTTCTATATGAATTTACATCAGGTTTGGGCCCGGATGTTTTAGATGATTGGGCAAAGAACATGAAGACATATTTCCTCTATACCACATACAGAACCTGAAGGGACTAATAGTTTAATTTTTTGGCAGTGGGATAGGGCCTTCCAACACTAGACCTGAAGGAGGAATCTTAGTTCGGGGAGGGGACACTGCAGGGCAAATGGTGTAGCACAGAAAGTTCTTCAAGAAAAAGGAATCAATTGTATGCTGCTTCTGCTACTCCTCAGCACCTGCCACCTGAGGCATTTGTCTCAGTCTGCCTCATGTTATGGCCAATCCTACCCTTATATGGTCTAATGGCACTGTGTGGTAAGTATGCACACCCTCCCCATATGGTTCTTAGAACACAAAATTTTTTAAGTGTGATGTTGCAGGTTCATATGAGGAAGTAGAATGTAGCATATCACGTTTGAGTTGGTAACTATTACAGTTTTTGGCAATGTTTCTATGTTAATGTCGTTTTTCCATACAAAAATGGGATAAGAACATTTATGTTGAAGTTTGTGTACTTTACTGTTTTAGAGAAAGGCTTTTACCTTGGATTAAGTTCATTGAATACAGTTGAATTTACTTCTTACTGGATATGTATGAGGGGTGCACAGTTCTATTCAGTTCTATTTCTGACCCACTTTTCTCCCAGTAAATGAGTCCAAGGCAGCTTTAAATTGGTCAAAAATAGATACCCTAAAAGCACAGTAAATTGCAGTGCTAAAAATGAGTTAAATATATTATGCAGAATCCATTTTACACACTATAGAGTTGAAGGGCAATCATGCAAGCTGTTCCCTCCTCAGGCAGGCTGTCCTTCACACAACAGGTTGCATACTCGTGTGAGCCTGGGTGTATGATTAATGATGTGACTGATCAAATAAAGGACAGTTCATAAGGAGGGGTTTCCTTATGTGATCACCTCTGCATGCATGAAAAGGTTCAACAGAATTTGGAGCATAATCATATGAAAACAACGACTGATTTAAAACAATTCAAAGCAATTTAAAAGTACATCATAAAAGGTAAGCATTAAAAATTACAGCATGCCCCATTAAAAGTCTCTTCCTTCGTAGCTTGTTGAGATCTCAAAAGCCTGCCTGGAAAGAAAGGTCTTGACCTGCCAGGAGAAGGAATAAAGGAAGGGGGTGAACTTGGTTTTTCTATAGAGGGTCTTCCGCAGCTACTGAAAAAGCTTGTCTCCTGTCATCACTAAATGAGCCTGGGATGGTGATAGGACAAAGAGAAAGGCCTCCCCTGAAGATCTTAAAACCCAGGAAAGTTTGTGGTAGTCCTTCAGAGAGTCAAGACAGAAGGTGTACAGGTTTTTATGGACCATAACCAGGATTTTGAATGATGCCTGGAAATGCACTATAAAGCTGGCATAACAAGGAATTTCTGTTCTTTTAGTAAACAGATCCAATCAATAATGTAGCTGCAGCATCTTGTACCCAAATGCTTTTCAAGGCAGTCCCACATAGAAGGCATTACAATAATACAAGTGGGGCGTAGCTAAAGCATGTGTCGCCACAGCCAGATCGCCCATGAGAGAAATCCATTATAAACTCCGGGTGGGTAGGGTGGATATTATGAGCGCTGTAAAGGTGATCAATATTCATTTAGTTAAATACCTTGTCAGTATTTCCAAACCTTTCATAGTTTTGCATGTCACTTTTGCCTCTCTTCTGTCTCTAAGCCTCTGAACTATTTTAGCCTTTTAATGTACACTTCCGTGTTCCTTCTAGACCTTGACAACTCTCTGTTCATCAACATGTACTCCAGCAATATTTCGAGGCTTTCTTTATTTTTAAAGCACATTAACATACCTATAAATACTACACTCTACTGAACAAAAATAGATCTGCTTAGTGTATTTATACAAGCAGCAAGTCAATCCAGACTGCAGCAGGAGCTAACAATCATGCAGAGACATTTCAAAGGATGGGTGATGCAAATTCTATTTTGTAAATGTAGCTTGCTTCAAAATTATGGTCATCATAGTTTTTATCAATGTTGTCATCATTGTCTAAAATGGGATGTGTTGCCTCCAGTGTTGGAGGCTCACATTAGCTCCACTTGGAGCTGCATTTTTACAGAAATTTAACTACAGCACTTCAGAGCACCATCCTGTACCATAGGCACTGTAGAACACCACTTCCGCTCATAGTGGCAACCAAATGGAGTAGCAGGGATGGCATGTTGTCCATCCTTATCAAATACTTACTACATATCCCAAAGAGAGTGAAAATAAAGCCATCTTTGCTGGCAGACCTGTTATCTAAAAAGCAAGACACAGAAGTTAAAACAGAGGAAAGGGGGAAGTAAACATAGTTGTATAGTTCTTATAATGACCTGCTTTAGTGCAAGCATTAATGGAGAGGACAAGCGAAATGGGAATGAGCTTTTGAGCTGAGCCAGAAAGAGTTGCCCTAGACACCTACTTCTTCAGTGTAGCCAATACAAAAGGGAAGTCAATTAAATTAGACCGCTGCTCCACCTTGTCTCTTTTTCTCTTCATCTGTATGTGTATATATACAGTGGTGCCGCATATAGCGATCGCTCTGTATAGTGATGAAATCAATTTGCGATGGACTTTTCACCATCGCAAGAACGATCGCTTTGCGATGGCCCCTATGGGGAAAATTTGCTTTGCGATGATCGCAGGAAAGCGATCATAGCAAAGCGACTCTTTTTGCACGGCTGATCGGCGGGGCTTTGCAATTGCCCTGCCAATCAGCTGTGCTTCGTCTCTCTCTCTCTCTCTCTCTCTTCACCCCTCGCAGCTCCAGCCTCGGCAGGGAGACTGAGGTGCTGGCGCCGCCACCCTGGCTGAGAAAGACCCTCTGCACCAGCAGCAACCTTAAGCTAAGGTTGCTGCAGGCACAGAGGGTCTTTCTTGGCCAGGGTGGTGGCGGCGGTGGCAGTGCCTCAATCTCCCTGCCGAGGCTGGAGCTGCGAGGGGTGGAGAGAGAGAGAGAGAGAGATAAAGCAGAGCTGATCGGCGGTTCCAAAATGGCCACCCGCTGTTTTGCCTCGTTTTAGAGGCACCCAAAATGGCCATCGCTATGGAGGATTTTCGCTTAAGGTGAGCTTAGGAACACATTAAACGCGTGTATGGGCTTTTTAAAATCGCTTAGTGATTAAATCACTTAGCGACTTTTTTCCTGGAAGGGATTAACGTCGCTAAGTGAGTATAAATGACTCTGCAGTAATATTACATGTCCTACTGCAACCATTTTTGTTTTTCCGGACTGCAATATATAACTCTTTCTCTTAATCTAAATCTTCAGGATTAAACAGCCCCACTAGATAGTTCAGAACAGAGTATCACACAACACAAAATATTTCAGCCAGAAACCTGTTGGTGTCATGCAAACTGGAAATTTCACAACTGCTGTCTTGCCAGCTGTCCATTGTGCACATGGACATGGCTGGGTTGCACAACAAGTTATACAATTGGTCACATGACAGACAGCTGGAAAAATGAAATAAATGTGTGATAATCCTTACTGACATTTTACTTCACTAGAGGATTTTGGCCATAGAGGTCTTCTAAGAGGTAGAAGAATGGTCTGCCTCATATGATTAGATAAGAATGCAGACTATGTTACCTCTAGCAGGGTCCCCAACCTTTTTCACCCCGTGGACTGGTTGGGGAAGGCGGGACA